CTCAGCAAGTGTTAGAAACACAGAGGCTTCACACTACTATCGGTACCAGGAAACGTTTTCGACAGAGTGGAAGATACAATAGACGTCCGACTTCAAGATCAACAGGCTGGATTCCGTAAGAATCGATCGTGCACAGACCAGGTTGCGACACTACGGATCGTCGTTCAACAATCGATTGAATGGAATTCGTCACTGTACATCAACTTCCTTGATTATGAGAAAACTCTTGACAGTGTGGATAGGAGGAACTTAAGGAACCTTCTTCGACATTATGGCGTGTCTGAGAAGATCGTCAACATCATACGGAATTCATATGACGGATTACACTTCAAAGTCGTGCATGGAGAATATGTGACACATGCGTTCCAATTGAGAATCAGTGTCGGACAAAGCTGTCTACTCTCTCCCTTTCTCTTTCCTCTAGTGATTGAATGCATTACATACATACACAAGGGAAAAGCAAGATCCTCAAATACAACACAGAGAGCACCAACGCAGTCACACTTGATAGAGAAGCTCTGGAAGGGATAGAAGCTTTCACGTATCTAATCAGCATCATCGACAGACAAGGATGATATGATACAGATGTTAATGCATGAATCGGCAAATCAAGGGCAGTATTTCTACAATCGAAGAGCATATGGGACTAAAAACAACTGTCAGAATCTTCAATACGAACGTCAATGTAGTTCTATTACACAGAGGTGGAACGTGAAGAACTACTACAACTATCAACGAAAAGTCAAGGCCTCTGACGGGTATGATTTTTATTCAAGAGGATTTGTTTTATCCAGTTGGTAATGTTCTGGGCTGAGTTTCTATGATAAGTCCCAAGTATTTTCGATTGCCCTACGGGTAATTCCTATATGATAGATGAGAATGTGGTTGGCAATAGAATCCAGGGCGCACGTTTTATCTCAGTTGGGGCTCATCAGGTGAGCCTAACTCTATCTTGGCTTTGGCTCCAGTACTTTTTCTTCAAGTCTTCAACGCGTTTTCAGCTAAGCCACTGAGTCTTGATAGCCATTGGCTTCTGCTACATGTATGATATTAAGGTTATTACTAAAAAGCATTTGCACTGTCCGGTTGTTGTAAATTGTTAGGGAGATCCAGAAAACCTCGAAAAAAGCCAAGAAAGTCTCTGACAACACTGAGAAGTATCTTAAATAATCAGCATTCACTGGAAGCTTTGTCAGAAACATCAAGAAAATGAAAAGTTACATGTTGAATTTCTGATTGGATGATTACTACGCTGCTACTATGTTTAGTAGCATTCCAGAATTTTCCAGAAACCCAAGGACACCTAAAACACTATAAAAACCTTATATTTTCTGTATAAAAACGAACCTTTAGCGTAAAGTGTTCTTTGCATCTTTCGCGCCTTTTCTCTCGTTTTGGAGTCGGTGTATAGTTCTAGCCTGGGGATTACTAGAAGAGCTTAGGAGCCAAATCTAGAGTTCAACTAGCAAGACTTATAAAAAATGTCAACTGAATTTTGTGAAAATTGATTATATAGATAAAGTTCGGACCGTATGTACATATGTCAACAAACAATGGTCGAAATTTGGTCTATATTTTCAGCAATAATACAATTAAAATCGTTTCCAATAATACTGTCTATGCAGAGGCACACCGATTAGTGGATCTTACTGTAGTGAACGAGAACACAGGTGGGGACAACCAAATGTATTTGAATACAAGATTACGAAATCTCTTAGTAAAATACGAGAACCATGCAATAAATACTTCATTTGCAGTGTCAACCAATTGTCTCAGACTTGACTGTTCCTTCGTTTCCGCACCAATCACTTTCTGTTCTCCTCCTCTCCTCTTCAATTTTCTTAATCTTCTGCCGCCATGCATTTCACTTACGATTGATGATACATACTACTTATATCTGTCAACACCAGTAGCACAGATCACATTACAATCTTTTTTAACTTGCTCGCCTAAAGTGATAAAACTAGCCAAACACATGGCAAACCAGTAAAACCGAAATTCGTTCCAATAAAGCGTATATATATACCAAGTTTTATCATGTAAACAAAACGTCAGCATATGAGATATTACTTTTTGACATCAGAAACGGTGAAAATAATTTTGAGAAATGGTTAATATTTGACATGATCCAAGTGAATTTCCAAATGCTTACAAAGAGTATTGCTCGATCAACGTTTAAAGTTGTATTCCCAGGAGAAACTTATCATGATTCACTCAAATAGAATCTATTCTTTTTAAATTGCCTTTCATAGATAGTGTTATTTGTGCTAATGGCTATAATTTTGTCATCTACAAATGATTTCGGATTGAATTACATCATTATTCCGTCTAAAAAATGGTTTTAAAAAACTTGTTTGTAATTAACTTATGGAAATTTTTTGAGTGATTAGAAGAATAAACTAGATGTATGTAATACTTTAACAATGACGTAAAAGAGATTTCTAGCTCATCACGCGAGTGCCTTTGATGGTGTTTCATACTGTTAGATTATTTGATGAACGGATTGTGAAAGTGTTGATGATGCTATGTTTTCATCGACTCAGGTGGTTTGGACATGTGTTACATTTCCCCGACCATCGCCGATCTTGAAGCCAATGATGACCAGAAAAAGAGTAGGCTGGAAGAAAACTAGGGCCCTAAAACCAAGACATAAAACCAATCTATAACAGTAATTGATAGTAATTTTGAGGCATGTTGGTAGAGACATATGGTCTAGCTGGAATGTGTCTAATAATTGTTATCAGTGGTTGAAGGTATTGGGTGAAATAGCTTATAACCGGTCGTGATGGCAGAGATGCATTCATTTTCTATCATTCTTCGATCTTGAGTCTCAGTATTCCTTTATACATAACTGTCATATCTAGAAGGTTGTTCTTGGTATACCGCGTATAACGTGAGCACTAGAACACTAGAACCCTTCCAAGGCACAATGAGAAGACAGAAGACTAATGAAAGGAATATCATTCCCAGACAATGTCAATTATCGTACAAAATTGTCAGGTATTTATAGTTTTCAGGAAGAATGGAATCATCATTACAGTCCTCCAATCCGCATACAGGGGGTTATTAGCATTGTCCAATCGGGAAGCTACACGTAGGAATTCTAGAATATTCTTCCAAGAGGTGATTGGATGGAATATCTTCGGCTCTTTCTGAGCCTCTTACAGCTTCCTCGAGTTTACCCGTGGTCCAACATACTGTTAAAGACTGTCCGGAGTTTCCTCCCGAACATACACTCGGCTGGTGACTTTCCTTCTGATACTGCCGGATTAGGGGTAACTCTGTAAGGCATTAGGAACTTACTGATCACTTGTTCTGGGGTACCCTCACCTCCCCCTTTGACCAGAGCTCTTTTTTGTCGTATCCACGAACCTTTCTTCTTGGCCATTCGACTGAGTAAGGTATGGAGGAGATCGTAGATGCGATATACCATTTTCACTTCAAAAGCGTTTGAAAGCGGATGACATAAACTGAGTGCCGTTGTCGGTCACTAAGATCTCTGGAACCCCGAAACAAGCAAACAATTCTGACAATCTTCTTATTGTACTCTCTGATGTCGTTTTCGGCATGTCATATACTTCTGACCATTTTGTGAATGCATCGACAACAACTAAGTAATTTCTGCCTTGTGTTGGTCCGGCGAAATCAGAGTGTATTCTTTGCCAAGGCCCCTCCGGTTTTGGCAATCGTTGTGGTTCAGATTTCGTTGGATTCTTCGCAGCCTCTATACAGGACCAACAACTGCGACATTTTTGTTCTATATCATGGTCCATTGACGGCCAGTATGCATAGCTGCGAGCCAGTGATTTCATTTTACTTATTCCCGGGTGCCCGCTGTGGAACTGCTTAATGACTTGGTGTCGAAGATTTCTGGGAATAACGATACGGTGGCCAAACATGTTGCACGAATCGACAACTGTTAATGACTCGTCGACGAAAACGTTGTAAGAGTTCTCCATGTAGCCTAGATGATGGCCACTTGTTGAACATGCAGTGGCGAACAATCTTCAATGCATTATCATTCTTGCTAGCTTCTTTAATGGCTTCGAATGTGACCGTGAATCCGGAAACTGCGTTTTTCAATACTTTGTGAACCTCAGCCTCAACATCTATAGCAGCTACAAGCACTTCCTCTTCTTGTTTTGCATGCGAACCAATCAATCGTGAGAGGGCATCTGCCTGTCGGTTGATACTTTATCTTGAAAAGAGCCAAGACAATAAGCATTCAAACGACAAGTTATAACAATTGGCGATGAGGTGAGAAAAAATTCTGAACCTTCAATCTTCGAATTAACGAATCAAGGTTAGTCTGTAATTGGACAAAATTCAGTGTAATTATTTCGAGCAATCAGCATACAAAATTCTCGCCGCTGTCCTTCAACGACATTGATTGTTAATTAGTCATACAGTATTTTTGATTACCGTGCTGATTCTGAAAATGGCTATCTCTTCCGATCAATTACAGTTGCTATTTGAGCGACAACAGCAGCGTTTCAAAAAGAGCCAGTTGAGTGTTTTAGACAATTTACGCATACGGCTGCTAAATCATCCATGTTTTGGAGATGTGACAGAAGTTGACAAATTAATTTCTAATTTGCATACAGAGCTGGAAAATGACTGCAGAACGTATAAACGTGTCGATGAAACCCTTCGTGAGTCCTTGATAAGCGGTAATGTAAACAAATTAGTGGCAGTCATTCATGATGCTCCCAGTGATCAAGAAATGTCCTTTTCAGAAACATGCCTTGTCGTGCGTTCAAATCCCATTGTCCCCGAAACACCATCTACAAACACTGGATTCTCCAGCTCACAGAAAGACAATGTCTTATTAAATACTCATGAAATTATTGCAGTACCCGCTCACAAAGAAACAGAAAATGAATCAAGCATCATAATGAAGACGATTGCATTAAATGGAGCTCATCATTCTACGACAAAAGTTTCTGATGAATGTACTTATTGGGGTTCTCTAGTTGTTTTACCAGATATGAGTTATCTTAATGACTCATTCTTTTGATCAAATTTTTTACAAAAATGAGGAAAATTTGTCGGATGCATCAAACGATGATCAAGAACCTAATAAAATTTTGATAGATGCTGATTATTCTAGTGATCGATTATCTACAAATAAGATTTTCAAGAGATCTGATGAAAATGTTTCACAAGAATCAAACCTTAATGACTTCATATCTAGTGTCGCTGATCCTCACCATTTAGTCAGTTCTAGTAGACCCTCTACTCAATGCAGGAAATATGCTTTAAATAGAGTCAAACTAACTGTAACTTGGGAATATGAGGACCCAACATTATTTCGTGGGGGAGGATGAAGTCATAAAATTTAAAGATGGATCTCAACATAGAGTCTTCAAAAAAAGAAGGGGAGGTGATATAATGGAAAGAAAAGTCAATTTTCGACTGATTTACTCATTATAAGTTTTGGTTCAACATTACTTCCGTTTTCATTCAATGTAGTGATTACTCAATGTAGTATTGGTTTTCTATTCTCGTATGATATTTTATTCTGTAGAATATACGATATTCTTGTATTTAATTGACATGAACTATGTTCAGTATGTGATTTGTTATAACTCGAAGTATTTTTCATATATGTGATTTCATCCCCATTATTAATCAAAATGGGTGTACAATCAATATATGAGTGTATTTTCTACTAGAGTCGTTTTCGTCGTCGTCGTGTTTTGGGGTTAATAAATCACCACTTATACCAGTCTTTGTGTTCTTATTTTCTCGTCGTGGGAATTGCAGAGGTCCCTCGTTCCGAGTATAAGTGATAAGCGTTTCCGACATAACAATCAGCGACGACCAGATACAAAATGTAGCATTAAAAGAGCCAAGACAATAAGCATTCAAACGACAATTTATAGCAATAACCTTTCATTTCATCTTCCTGAATTACATTCTTGACGTTTAGTTTCTCTCATATGATTGATAACTACACTCTTCCGATTTCTCTTTCTGCTCATCTTCTTAAATTTATTTCATTACTCTAATGTGGTAATACAAGTCTGGGTTGACACACGTTTATACCATGAACTACGTTGACTATATACGAGAGAACAGACTTTTATCGGAACAAGATTAGTAGCAGCTACTTCAAATATAACTAAGTGTATTGAGAAGTACTCTATAAGTGTTAAATTAGTTTGGTCTGGTGTCTGTGAACAAAACGATAATGGTACTGTTTGAAATAATTACAAGATTAAACCGTATCCTGCTTAGGAAACGTATCACTGCCAAAATGTGATTATTCGTTTAGATATTCGTTATATCGTGAAATCAAACTATGATTAAGCCATGATGACAAAGTATGACGTTTTCATTACTATGATTCTTGTAATCAATATGTATTTTATGTCATCTACGTTGCAATTTCAAGGAAAATGTATAATAATACAGATTTTATCTTTCGATCAGTTGTTATGATCAACTTTATTTATGTGTTATGTGGAGTTTAAACTATTTTCATCAAGGGTTAACAATTATTTATCTGTTTTCTTCTATTCTTGAACTTCTAACCGGTGCTCACCCAAAACCTTAGATAGAATCGAAATCAAGACTTTCTTATTTAAAGGCAAACACACTGCCTATTCATTTCAATGAACCGACATCCAGTGGTTCGAATTTTCAACCACAGTCAAGTAAGTATATGGCGTGATTTTCATTCGGTATAATCACTGATGTTTATTTCAAGTTGGAAGTACCATTTCACGTATCTAAAAATGGAGTGGTCGCCACAACGTCTTAAGGTCTTGAGGCACGCGTAAGTGTATTCTTAGAAAGTATTATAGGTCCTATTGAATGGATTTCCTTAGGAATTCTTATTATATCATATTTTCCATACATGTTTCAGGGTTTTAAGCATAAACACCAAAGATCTATATTTGTTGTCTGACTGACATTACTTTATCGCTTGAAATTTTCTTCCTGATAGTTTCAAACGACGTATTCAGAGCATACACACATTGTTCACATGCTGTTGAATTGCCTAAAAAGTTTTCCGTTCATAATTGTTTTACTGTTTCCATCCATATCTATTTTGATATAAGTTAACTTCATAATTCGTCTTATCTACCTTAATAAATATTGAAATTGGACTAATTATTTCAAACGCACATCATATGTTTCTAGTGCACTTTCTGTACATTCAATTTAGTAAGAATATTAGCAGATTTTTTAGTTTTGGTGACAGAAATTAGCTACTGACAAGTAGCCTGAATCCATGACTACGCACGTGGGACTCGAACACAGGACCTTCGGTCTCACTCGCGAACGCCTAACCTCTGGACCACTGAGCCAGCATCAAACGATGTTAATGTGTGACTCTAATCAATTTACGATATCGCATGACCCTTCATCCATTTCCTGAGGTGAATAACTGTCTCACACCCGACTAATGTTTCCGGGCTTTCAATAGTGGTCTAGTTTAAATCGATTTGTGATTTCGACCGTGTAAATACTACGATTTTCATGAATCTCCCATACTACTAACAAGTAGTTGAATTGGGTTTAAAAATTATATATTTGATTCCATGGTAGAATCATAAACATTGGGATTTACTGAGAATTGTGCGAAATTAAATTTTCGAACTTGTTTCTGAATGATGCTTTTGGATACACGTAGGAAGAAACAGTACCAAGTCAGTTTAAGGGTAGGTGAGATGTCTACTCTCATTTAAGCAAGTTGTTTTGGTAACTTGTTTTCGTAATTAAGAACTGATCTAAGTTACATCTTAATATGATTCCACAGCCCTCGATGCTGACGATTCTTTTCTCGTATATCTGTTCAAAGCTAAATTTTAGACCAATCATGTTCATAATAACCAGGCATTGGACACTTGATATTCATGTAGTGTACAAACGTTGAAATAGATTTGAATTTAATTATAGAATCTTCGTTCACCAATGTTCCTTGTTTCATTTGCCTGTAAAACGAGGAGAAAATCATGAAATCATTCGAAAAAGACCATCTACAACCGTACAAATGACTCAGAAGCTAAGTGATATAAAGTCGAATGAATGAGTTTCATTACTCTATTTATCCTGAATTTGTGGTTAAAAAATCAGTAATGAACCTTGATAATAAACCATTTTAAACACGTTTAAATTTCATCAATAGAACGAAGGATTTTCAGTTCATCTGTAAACTCACTTGTCATTAAAAGGAATGAGAATATTAAGGTTACCTAAAGTGTTGTTATCAGTATGTATGATAATTTAATCAGACCGAAACGTTGCTTAGAATCAGTCATTTTCTTTCACTTGACACGTTATAGTGTCTCTTTAGTTTAAAAGCACGAGTAGCAACCATTTTATTACCTGTTCGTAAATTACTTCGCCATCCTGTGTGTATGATGTTGAGTCAGTATTTCTAATCTTCACATAATATTTGCACCTAAACAACCGGTATAGAATTGTTGAATTAAATGATGAATTATCAAGACAATACTTTTTATAATGTTTACTCAGTTTCAACTGTAAAGTTTTCAGTTCAATACCAAAGTCAAGAATGAGATATTCATTTTATTTTATAAATTTTAATGGCAATCAACAGCGAGTATTAAACATAAGTGTTTTAACTTGTTGAAATTAATTAATACAATGAATCAGTAAACTTGATTAAATGAAGAAAGCTTGCTGTTTCTATAATCTTTTATTGTATAAATATTCAACCGTAAGATGTACTATTTAGTTATTTAGATTCTTAATGCCAAAACAGTGTTTAGTTTTAACATTAAGTTAGGAATGTTGACCACTGAATTTTGAGTGAGTGATTCTAATGCAGCTTGTTTCTTGCAAAACCTAAAACATTCAACCTCTCACAACTCTGAGGTTGTAGGTGCACTCTAACATTGAGAATTTTTGTAGTGAAAGCGATCCAACGTTTACCGATAGCAAACTATGATGAATACTATTGAGAAATTAAGCTTATCAACGTTTCAGAAAATCTTTAATCAAACTATGTAAATGTTGTGATGGCGTTGAGAAGCATGGCGAGGCCTCCAGAGGCTCTAAAGGAGCCGAAGAGTTTCCGTCCAATCAGAGCCCGACAGAGCCTTCCAGAATATCGACGTGGCATGCCACGATTGGATGGTAGCATAACTTGCCCCCTTGAGGATTGACTGAACTATAATGACGTTATAGCCAACGCTAATAACTATAAATACCCATGTTTTTTTTTCTGTACATTTTTTATTCTTACCCAATAATTACCTCCGTTGTTTCTTCTGGCTTCTGATTTTGCGACCGTGAGGTTTTACACATTCACGTGCCGTTAGTCGTATATCTTAGTCTGCCGTAATCAAGTAAAGGACTTAATAGTAAAAACAGTTTAAATCACAAGTTAGTGAGCAAGTTAATGAACAAGAGAATAAAGATGTATTATAGACTTTCAAAATAGGAATCAACCAAGACTACTGCCATTGCCTTTCCTTCAATAGAAATAATTAAAGTGAAACTAAATATAGCTTTGAGTTAGAAGTTTCATACGAATAATTATGTCTCATCGATGGTATCACCAATATCAGGACTTATTACAGAATCAGTGATACAGAGGCTGGAAACCTCGATCTTACCAGTGATCAAGCCAAAAGTTTGGATTCGTTATGTAGACAACACATTCGCCATCGTCAAAAAGGACGAGCTGGAAAACATCTACAGTCTGATCAACAATGCCTTCGATGACATAAGGTTCACAATGGAACAGGAATCAAACGATAAAATGTCATTCTCGGATTTATTAATAACCAGGACTAACACAGGAAAACTGGAGACTCAAGTATATCGAAAGCCAACCCGTACAGATCAAATTCTCAATTACAATAGCAACAATCCAAGGACTCACAAAATCAACGTCATACAAACTTTATTCGTAAGGGCGACAAAACACTGCAACACACTTGCACTGTGGAAAAGTGAGGAAAAATACCTGAAGACTATCTTTCAAAAGAACGACTGCAGAAACAAAATCAGGTACAGAAACCAACAAACGGATCATTCTACCACATATATAAAAGGTATATCAGAAATTACAACGAGATTGTCGAATCCATTTGAAATAGGTGTGACACGTAAACCAACAAAATCACTTCAATCAATCCTATGCAAACAAAAGAACGAAATGTAAAAAGAATAAAAACCGAACGTCATTTGCAAATTAAATTCTCCCAACTCCGAAAAACACTACATCGGACAAAGTGGACACCCCCTTCATCTTCGCCTGCATGAACATCAATTAGCGGTCAAACACCATCACATATCCTTGCTTATACCAACGCAGGTGGACAACTGTGGACACACAGTCTACTGG